ACGTTAAATGTCTGGCACGGTTCCAGACTTAGTGCTCAGGAAATGCTTGTTGAATGAATAAAATATATGTCATAATAAAAACAACTTCTACTGAGCACCTTCTCACGTATAAACTTACCTAAACCTCATGGTGACACCATAGGGGTACTCTTATTATCCCCTTTCAAAGATGAGGAAACTGAGGCACACAGAGAAATACAGGATCTTGTCTTGCCTAAGGGCTCATGGCTGGTTGGTGGTGGCAGTGAGACTTGTGGCCTTGCTGTCTGCTGCTACACTCGGCCCACGACCCTGCCCCCCGCCCTGGGAGAGAGGTGGCATGATGAACCCTGTTCCCATTGTCTATTGCATGAAAGACCTCTCCCCATTGCTAACATGGCACCATTGCTGTTATGGTCTTGGGTTCTGAGGATCAGAAGTTCAGACAGGACAAGGCAGGCAGCTCATCTCTGCTGGGAAGAGTCTGGGAGGATGGGGTGGTGAGGGGCCAGCTGAGGTGGCTTCTTGGCTGGATGACCTATTCTGCCCTGTGGACTGCAGGTTGAGTGGAAGGCTTGCCTGGGGGACGCTGGGTTTGTGAGGGGCTGGGTGGAGGCACCAGCAGACCCCAGGGGGAGTCCCTGATGCTCCAGAAGCTGGCAGCTCGAACATTCTGGGGGGCTCCCCACGAGTGGCTCCTCCTCTGGGCCTTTGCACATGCTGCTGGCTCTGGGACCCATCCCACCCATGTAATCAACACCAGCCTGGCCATCAGGACCTGGAGGTGGAGTTCCCTGACCCTGTGGACTGCGGAGGGGATCTGCCATCACTCTGCCAGGAGCCTGTCCTCTGCGGAAGGTCTCATCACAACGTTGGAATTGACTTGTCTGCAGCTGGAACCCTCGGGGGACAAGGCTGGGGTCTTCATCTCCAGCACCCAGCAGGCACACAGTAGGCATCTGATGCATGCTTACTGAATGGGTTGATTGACTTTTGAGCAACTTTGACTTCTACAAGTCAGCTCCCAGGGCTGCGGTAAAGGTAACAGGGAATAAGGATAGGAAAATGTGGGGTTTACAAGGGAATTCAGATAAATAGCATTTATTAGAGTTTATATGGAGTAGAGAAAAACCAAGGAAGTGAGGACTAGACCTGAGGTGCTCAGCAGTGTGAGGCTCATAGTAGGTGCTCCACAAAGGTAAGTCATGTCATTGTCATCACTATCATCATCTTTATTATAAGAAGGCACCTTTCCTAAGTAAGAGCCACATAGGATGGCTTGAAATGTTCTTACAAGTGAAAGTGGAAGCCGGGCTCGGTGGCTCAGCCTGTAATCCCGCGCCTTTGGGAGGCTGAGGTGAGTGGATTGCCTGAGCCCGCGGGTTCGAGACCCGCCTGGACAGCGAGACCTCATCTCTACAATAAATCAAAAAATCAGCCGGGCGTGGGAGCGCATGCCTGTAATTCCGGCTACTTGGAAGGCTGAGGCAGAAGGACCACCAGAGCCCAGCAGGTCGAGGCTGCAGTGACCAGGAGCGGCCACTACACTCCAGTCTGGGCGACAGAGTGAGACTCCAACTCAAAAAAAAAAGAAAGTGGAGACATATGATGCCCGCAAGTCACCTGGGGCCAGATGTCTCTGTAAGGGGTCACGTCATATGACTCCCGTGGGATGCTCAGTAGGTCCTCCCCTGAGTCAGGTTTCCCTTCTGCAGGGAAGGGTCTGGGCCAGGGACCTCCGACTCTGACACTCTGCTCTGCTGTGGATGTCATTCACGGCAACCTCTGTCCTTCAGCCAGAGGCAGGACGCAGCCTCCCTCCTGCCCTCCACTGCCCTGCACCCTCTCCAGCCCTGCCCACGTTCCCTTACTTCAGAAATGCTCCGGGTTCCAAGCCTGACTGCTGTTCTGTTTCAGTTTGAGGCCGCCCTCCAATGGCAGGATGTGGGAATGACATGCAGGACCTCGGCGAGGGCTCAGGCAGGGCTGAAGGGTCCGGGGAGTCTGCAGAGAGGGCCCTGGTGTGGCCTCGCTGGAAAGGAGGGCCGGAAGGACCCGGCAGAATTCCTCAGCTTGGGCCACATGGTTGTTCTCTCCCACTGGCCCAGAGCAGCTGATCCTCCCTCTGGGTTGGCCCAAACTGCCACTTGGGCTGTGTGACACCAGCCAGTCCCTGGGCTTCTCTGGGGACCTCTCCAAGCTCGGCCTGGGAGAGGGGACTTGAGGACAACCACCTATCAGCAGAGGGTCTCCTTCCTAGTAAGGCAGCTCAGTCCTCCAGAGGATGCAGGATTAGGAATGGGGGCAGGGAACATCTGAGGTAGAAAGAGGGGCTGGGGCCCTGGAGAAACCTTATCTTCTCATTTAGGAATATGAAAAAACACTCATAGACCCCAGTGGAGGACAGAGGACAAGGCCCCTGAAGGAGAAAAATATGACCAGGAATAGGAGGACTAGAAACTTCCACTCTTACCTTGGTCTTTTAGAATTGGGGGGTTTAGAAACCTGAGCTTCCTAAAAATCTGAATCTCAACAGACATTCCACATAGAATATATGTATATTAAATGTTATACATACATACACACACATGCATGCATGCACACACATACTAAAGTCTACAAAGAGCGTTGAGAACCGCAACCTCAAGTTCTGAACCCCCAGCTCTGAGCTGGAGTCACCTGAGGGCCACCCTCCCCACAGCCTGTCCCATAAGGAGTGTCTACTCTCACCACCTCCTCCAAAATTTGCTCATGATCTGGGTGGGTCTCTGAAATCTCAATGTAAAAAGCCCCCCAGGGGATGCTGTTGGACCTCCCGGATTTGGGCAATCGATTCAATCCAGCCATGCCTCCCCTTTGTCCATCGAATGGGGAAACTGAGGCTCATAAGGGAAAATGACAGAGAGCTGGTGACGAGCTGGAACTCTAGCCTGTGCCTCTCAATGCCAAGGCCACTCTTATCGGAGGGCTCTGTGGGATCGCCTGAGGCCCCTGGCCCCTGAGATGCGTCACACAGAGCACAGGCTTGTGGAATTCACGGGACGGCGAGGTGCTGGGTGCATGGTGTTGCCCCTTCTGTTTCTGGCTGAGCCCTTTTCTTGAGAGGGGCCTGGATGAGACCTCTTTTTTCAGTCCCCCCAAGTGGAAACCCTGCCTCGTCCCCAACACACTCTGACCCCACTCAGACCTGAGCATTCCAGTGAAAACCACCCCACATGTTTTAGATTCTGGGACTCCAAACTCATCAGCATCTCGGTTTTGCAACACCCACTTGATGCCCAAGAAACATTTGCAAGTTTTTCTTCCCTTTATTAAAAAAAGTTGGAGTCTTGAAACAATAACAGCATGGCATTTTAGAGGCACAAACTTTTGCAGAAGAGAAGCTGGTGGTCTGGGTGGGCGAGGACCGGCTCTAGCTGTCCTCGGGGAGGTGACGGGGGATGTCAGAGTGAGGGAGGGCCTTGGGGGCTTAGGCCTCCCAGGGCCTTGACCAGAAGCAGCTCCCTCTCTGGGTGGGGCTGTGATATTTCATGACCCAGAGCCTCCCCCAAGCCTGCTGACTGCTCTCCTCTCCCAGACCACCCTTGGGCTCCTCGGGGCTCAGGTTCTTGCTTCTCCTGCCCAACCCTGCTCTAGCCACTGAGCCCCGTGAATTCAGCCCAGCTGGCAACAACACAGGCATGTCGGGGCGCCTCTTCCTGGGAATCCTGGGGAGAGAGGAGGAAGGGCCCTCTGATGGTGGAACAATGGGCAAGGAGAATAGACTTGCCTCTGGGCTCCGTCTGACCTGGAAACTTCTCCCAGTGTTTAACGTCAGGACTGTGGGGGTGTCACAGTGAAATTCAAATGCTCAGGGGTCAGTGGTGGGGGTGGATGAGACCTTCTCTTGCTCCTGACCTGCAGTCATTTCCGCCTCCCCAAGAGGCCCCTGGAGTCCCCTCTCAGCTGTGGATCTGCTGAGCAGGGTGACCATCAGGTAGGAAGCAGAGCATGAGGGCTCCCTGTGCAAACTTATGCAAGTCCCTTCCTTCTCAGCCCTCAGTTTCTTCAGTGGGAGCAATCGGTGGAAGAAGCTGGGGTAGGGAGCAGAGCAGCTGGAGAATCTCAGCGTTCCTTTCAGCTTTGATGGGCTCTTCAGCAGGGGCTGGGCCATGACAGCCGGTCTGCTCCAGCTCTTGGGTCCCCAGGGGCCAGCTTGGGAAGATGGGGCATGAGGGAGGCCGGCGTGGAAGTGCTGGGGGGGGGCAGGCAGCTTCCAGAGGATGACCCAGAGGACACAGGGCTGGCTGTCGCCAGGGGCCCCACTGTGGCTTCCACTGCCAGCTGGGAAAGAAGGCCAGGCCAGGCCTGAGGCCCTAGAGCCGCTTCCTGCAGGCTCCTTGGGGAGCTGATGGCCGAGGCTGTGGAAATGGCCTCCAGGCACTGGCCAGAGGACAAGGTGCTTATAGCCTGGAGTTCTAGGGTTTCCTCTGGAGCAGAAGCAGGGCTCTCAGGCCTGGAGGAGACTGTGCTGCGGCCTGGCCTCACCCCTTGGAAGTCCCTTCTCTGCAAAGGTGGCATCAGGATAAGGTTGGGAAAGGCCTAGAAAAAGATGTTTGCTTTATTTTAGGAGCAGATAGAGAGAGCCGCAGGGGAGGGTACAGGCTCATGGTCTCTCTCTTAAAGTATGTGTGTGGAGGGGGAGAGGTGGGAGGGAGAGAGAGAGAGAGAGAGAGAGAGGAGGAGGAGGGGGAGAGAGAGAAAGGGGGAAGAGGGGAGACAGAAAGAGAGAGAGGGCACAGTGAAGACAGAAAGTAGCATGGGAGGAAAGGAAAGGAAAGGCAGATAAGAGGACAGAGAAAGAACAGGAAGGGAGGGAGGGAAAGGGAGAGGAAAACAGGACTGGGAGAAAGAAAGAAAATCAAGGAGGAAGAGGAAAGGCAGAATGGCCAAAAAAGGGCAGAAGGGTGGGGGGCAAAAAGAAAGGGGGAGGAGGAGCAGCCACAAGCTTTGGGCAGGCCGGGAGCTTGTGGGGGGCCAGATCAGGGCTGTGGGCCTGGCGGGTGTGGCCGCACGTCCAGCCTGCGGTCCAGCGGCCTGTCCTTGCGCGGGCGTCGGTCCTTCCGACCCTTCTTCTGGCCGGTGCTTCTGTCTGCAACAAGAGCACAGGGCCTGGTTTCCGAGGCTGCAGGGCTGATGGGGCTCCGGGGATGTTTGGGGCTGGCCTCACCGTCCCTCCTTGGTGGAATTTGGCCCCCAAGCCGAACATTTCTCCCCAGATCTCTAGGGAGCAGGGAGGGCCTAGCCTGTCAAGAGCCGTCCCGGCTGGCCAGACCGGAGTCCCAAGCCAGGACTGAGGTGCCCCGTGGGGTCCCCAGGACCCCCCCAGGCCCCTTGCTTTCTGGCTCACCAGGCTCTTTCCTGGAGACTCAGCACATTTACCTGAGTCCTGCACCAGCTTCTCACTCACCCCACAGAGGCTCCGCCCCCCCAGATTCCACAACCACACAGTGCTCACCGCGTGCCCCACAAGCACCGAGCACTTTATGTACACGAAACTCACCACAGTCTTGAGACGTAGGTATGGCTCTGCCGCCTCCACGTGACAGGTTGGAGGGGTCTGCTCCATGCCAGTCCCCACCATGGAAGGGGCCGGCTGGAATGCAGACCCAAGACCCAACCCCTCTGGCATGGAGCTGAGGGGAATTTCTAAGGCCAACATCTTAGTCCCATTTCTCAGCTGAGGTGACTGAGGCCAGCAAGCGGAACAACCTGCTCAGCAGCACAGCCTGGATGTGAGTTTTGGAGTCCAGCCCTGTGCTGTCTTTTCTAGTGGCAAACTTGGACAGAGGGAACAGTGTGGGGAACAGCGGCCAGAGGGCTTGAAGGAGTAGCAGAGTCCTGGCACGCTCTTTTTAAGGGCAAAAGAGGTCCAGTCATCCCTATGCTCGGACTCCTTCAGCGGCTCCCAGCTCACATGGAGTAAAAGACCATGTCCCCTCCCTGGCCTGGCCGGCCCCTCGTCTCCACTACCCTCACCTGAGTCTATCTGCCGCCCCCCACCCAGCACAGCAGGCCCACCCACCCCCACGCCTTTGCACTGGCTGTGCTCCTCCTGGCAGTGTTTGTCACTATTATTGTCAGGTGCCCCTGAGAGGTGTGGCTGGGAGAAAGGCCAGCCCAGCCTTCTGCTTCACAAAGCGTGTCCACGCCCCGGCTGGTGCCTACAGAGCTCTGCCCTCTCGTAGTTTCCAAGGGAGTGTGTGCCCCCTGCACCCTTGAAGCAGGCTCAGGGGTTACACCCCAAGGGCACACAGCAGGGCAGCTTGAGGTCTCTGCCCAACAGCAAGGGGAGGGCAATGTGGTCCCTGAGTGTCCGCTGGGAGCCCTGGCTCCCCAGAAGTCAGGGGGCTCCAGCCCCGGCCCCTCCAGGGAAAGACCCTGGCTTTTCTGCAGGGCAGGCGGGGCCATCCTGTAGGCCAGGCTGCCCAATTCTGGGGCTCCCACGCCCACTCTGAGCCCTGGGGGGCACTGACCAGCTCCCATCAGAGTGCTGGTTGCTGACTGCACAATCTTCAGGTGAGGACTGCCTCTGGGCGCAGGGTGTGGGTGCCCGAGGGGCTCTGCCAGCCCTGAAGGTGGGACTGTGGGAGTGAGTGTCCCTACCTTTCCCTGTGCCTGCCTGAGGGCTGCCATGTGCCCATCCTGTTGTCCACCCACTCTCTACCGGCACACCCACCTACCCACCTGTGCCCCATCTACCCTTCCATTCCCCATCCTTCCAATGATCCATCTGTGTACCCATCCACCCTCCGACCCCCCACCCTCCACCTATCACCCACCCATCTACCCTCTCATCCACCTATCATCCTCTCGTCCAACAGGTGTTACCTGGACACTTACTATGTGCCAGGCTCTTCTGCACTAGAGAGGCAGCCATGAACAAGGCAGATCTCGCTGGGAATCCCTTTTTAGTAAGGAAATCAAATGCTAAACAAGCAGACACGAGAGTGCCAAAGCTCATTTCTGAATCGGGAGCATGCCTTGATGGGTGGGATAACTGGTTCTTTGGAAGGCTTTCGAGAGAAGGGATGGGAGCTGCTACCTGGGTCACTGGGGGAGCTGCAGCAGGGCTGTTGTGAGGGTCTAAGGGGCCAGCAGAACACTGGGTGCCACACCCAGCACATGGTCAGCGCGTTGTGAGTGTTTGCTGCCCCTGTTAGTAGCATTATTTATCACCTGGGGGAAGGACTTTCCTTGCTTGATTCCCAAAGCCAACCAGCCCTTAGTTCTCAGAGGCTGGCCACAGTAATGCGTGCTAGAGAGAACTGTCTAGGTGGTGCGTCCTTGGGTCTGGGGTTTCCTACTTTATCTGGTTCCTCACTCTGTCCCCAACTGCCCAGCATGACTCCCAAAGGCTCCCCTCTCTGCTATCTGCACTCCCAACCCAGGCACCATAATTTCTGGGTTGTTCCTGAGTTTAGATCCTATTTTCACCATGTCTGGCAGTGCCCCAGGTGGCCTGGCTCTGGGTTCCTCCTCCCTCACTGTGACTTTATGTTCCTTTTTGCACGCTGACCTGTGTTTGAATTCTAGGGGCACACCTCCCAGGTTGTACGACCCTCGGGCAAGTGACTCAACCTTTCTGGGCTTCAGTATCCTCATCTCTGAAATAGGAATAATACTTATTAAATGAGTCAATGACTGCAGAGAACTTAGCACAGTGCCCGGCACATAGTAGGTGCACAGTTAGCACTGTGAATCCCATATTATTTCTGCTTACCAATCACATCTTACCAATCACACTCTGTGGCCTCTCTTCTATTTAAAACAATGGATTCTAATTGACCCTAGAGGTATTTTGAGATCTGTGTAGTGGTCTTGGTTACCACAATGAAGTGGGTTGGCATTCAGCTGACAGGGATTGGGGTGCTTCGTGGGACAGTCCCCAACAAAGGACGGTTGTCCCCATCCTATCCAGTTCCCTCATGTCCTGCCCATCCTCACGTAGCGGAGAAATCTGCTCACTCAGAGCTGAGCCCTGTTTACTTGATGGAAGCCTAGTGGTTTTGAACATGTCCACTCACTGACCCTCGGGGACTGCCGGTGTGGTCCAATAAAGAGGCCACATGGCTTGGGAGGGCCTTCCTCATTGTGGGCCACCATTGGGGAAATCGTGCTTGATGGCAATGTGGCCATGCACCCTGAGGTGCAGACCCTGGAGTGTGGACCTAAAGGGAGACAGGCAGGAGCCCTACAGCTGTGGCCTTGGCAGTGACCCAGACTACTAGGTGTGGGGCCCAGCATGTCCATCATGCCACTTCTTTTCTTTCTCCTCGACGTTATGGTCTGGGCACTACACTGAGGTTTTTCTAAATGACCCATGCAAGTGGGCTCCACCACCCATGAATGTCACTTCAGAAGAGTAAAGAGCATCCTCTAAGATCCTTGTTGTATGAGACGATAGCCAGTCTGAGGGGGCTGAGAGGCCCCGGCCAGCTCAGTCCTCCTAATGTGCCTGGGAATGACCCTAGCGAGGAAGACCCTCCTTCAAATGACACCCGGAAGTGTGATGTGTCCTCCACATGACCACGTGGCTAACAGTGGCCTTTCAGGTACCGTCCGTGGGCAGTGTCTCGAGATCCCTCAAAGTCACCCATGGGCCTGGCCTGCTACAGTCCCACATGTCCATCCTGGTGCTCACCTCCTGGGCAGGGTCTCTGGATGGGACACTTCCTTGACTCAGACAGCAGCTGGCAGGGGGCTGCCTCCTCCTGCCCAACCCGGCCAGCCTCTCGTACTCGGGTCTCCAGGCCCCAGGCTGGGCCGCAGGTCTTCCCATTGTGTGTGCAGGGGCTCCAGCTGCCCCAGGGGCCCAGTTCACACTCTCCTGTGTGTTAGAGCGAGAGACAGACAGACAGACAGATGGGTCAGCTGGCAGTGAGGAAACTTTAGAGCCAAGGGCAGGGATCTAAAGACATCATTTCCACCTGCAAGGGATTCAGACTATTAGTAGGAGCCGAAGGGACATATTAAAAAGCTATTTAGACTGGGCTTGGTGGCTCGGTCTATAATCCCAGCACTTTGGGAGGCCAAGGCAAGTGGGTTGCCTGGGCCCGTGGGTTTGAGACAGGTCTGGGCAACTGGTGAGATATCGTCTCTACAATAAATCAAAAATTAACCGGGCATGGTAGTGCGTGCCTGTGGTTCTGGCTACTTGGAAGGCTGAGGCGAAAGAATTGCCGGATCCCAGCAGGTTGATGCTGGGGTGGCCGTGAGTGTGCCACTGCACCCCAGCCTGGGTGACAGAGATTCTGACTCAAAAGAAAAAAAGCTAATTATAAGAGTGTAGGACAAGAGCTATACTTAAGTACAGTAAGTCTCCTACATATGAACTTTCAAGTTACAAACCTTCAAGTTATAAACTTTAATGATGCACACCTGTATTTTTATGTATTATTTCTCCCCACCAGGTGTTAATATAGACTGCTGAATACATACAGTGCTATATAGCTGATTGTGTTAGTTGGGTGCCTAGGCTAACTTTGTTGGACTTCAAACCAATTGGACTTATAAATGTGCTCTTGGAATGGTTTTATGTTGGGGACTTCCTGTATGCACAGGCCACTACAGGCCAGAGCCAGAGTGACTGTCTAGCTTTAAAGGAGAAGGCTTCTTGGAGGAGGCAACCCATGAGGTAAAGGGAGAGAGAAGAAGGAAGCTCATTTCAGGCAGGTGTGCACAGGTTTGGGAGCCCAGCCCACCACGTTGGAGAGACAGGCCAACGTGGGTCAAGGTGAAGGGTCAGGAGGAGAGGGCAGGAGAGGGGGCTAGAAGTCACCAGGAAACCCTCAGGACCTGGACACGGACTTTGAACTTGATCATGTGCCTTTGATCAACCTTAAAGCAGATGCGACCCAGTGCTGCTGTGAGAAAATGGACACAAACATTCTTAGTAGGGGGTAATTTTAAAAATATAAATATATATATATATAAAATAGTTTGCATTTGATTTTTTGTAAGTGTCCTTGAGAATAGGCACCGAATACGGGTGGCTACAGATACCCCCACTGTGCAGGTCAGAATGCTGAGGCCTGGAGCACCAAGGGTTCTGCTGAGGCTCACTCAGCTGGCACAGCAAGTTCAAGATGCAATGGGACCTAGACCTTAGATCAATGGTCTTGCCGCCAGATGTTCTCACATGAAGCGTAAGGACTGAGGACCTACGTGTGCCAGGTTCTGCTCCGGGTGCCGAGGGGACAGCAGACAGGACAGACCTGGGCCTGCCTCCTGGAGCCCACCTGCCGAAGGTGCTACAGGAGCCCAGGGCGACCCGGGGGGAAAGACTCCTGGAGGGGCCTTCGGGTGGGGACTGGGGGGAGCAGAGGCTGGCCGGGCTCAGGGCAGTCCTCCGAGGAAGGAATAATCTGGCAAAGTCCCCAGGAGGCACCAGCCTAGAACTGGGCACACTGGAGCTTGAACTCACATAGGGAGGGGAAAAAATAATGGGGGAAGAGGAGGCAGACAGGCTGGAGCCACGGAAGGGCCTGAGCGGAGGGGAGGCCAGGACAGGTGGTCACTCGGGGATACTCCCTCTGGTTGGAGCGTGGGCTGCAAAGTGAGACTGGAAGGGACAGGCAGGAGGCTGCGACCCAAGTCCCAGTGCCAGCAAAGGGTGGGGAGACACAGGCTGAGAGAAGCTGATGGGTGGGGGTGGAGTAGGGAGAAGGGGGGAACCCG